AAAAAAAAAAAAAAAAAAAAAAAAAAAAAAAAAAAAAAAAAAAAAAAAAATTAACAGACAACAAAAAAAAAAGAGAGTGAAGTGTTAGCAGCAACCCCCGTAGTAAAGAGCATACAGTGCGCACAACCATTGTAAAACGCAACATTTTTGCTTAGTATGGCGTATATGTTTATATATGTATATATAAATACATATGTATCCATTTCATATTTCTAATTTGTTTTTGTTTTTTTTTTTTTTTCTTAAGCGCGTTGAGTCAACCAAATGCGTATGAGTAATATTTATAGAATAGCTTTCGCCATAATGATGCCATTAGCTATATATTCTACATCCACAAACAGATGCACAAAAGGTTTCACCAATTCCAATGCTTTAAGATGTAATTTGAATATGCATATTATTTTAAATGAAATTAATACGTCGTTTACCAAATCAAATACTTGTAATTGCAATTAATTGCTTTTTGTGTACGTTTCACGTTTCAGTGCAGGCGAATTCACTGTGTCTGGTTATAAATTTATCAAATTATTTCTTAATTTTCCCGAACTGCTCGAAAAACAAATGTGTCAAACGGGCGATTAACTGTCAACACACACTGTTCACTGGTCAACAAGCTGTTCTCTTTTGGATGAGCTAATTCAATTCGTGCTCGCCTACTCTGTCTCGCCAGCTGGCCCTGTGTCGTTATTTCCGTCTCCCTTGTGCTGATGTGATGTTTGTGTACACACTGGCTACAGTGAAGCTCATCAATTGGAAATGGTTTTTGGTCACTTTTTGCTTTGCTATTGAGTTTTGCCAAGTTTCACTGTACGGGTTTGTTGTTGATATATACACACCTATGCATAAATACTATTGTACACAGACACACACACACACGCATACATACATGCACACAAAGCGGAGAGGGGAGTTCACTGTTGTTATTTGCGTTAGATTTCAGCGTTTTGTTTGTTGTTGCTGCGTCTCAGCTGAGTGCTGAGCATGCATGTGTTTCTGTATAAGTGTGTGAGTGCGCACGAGAGCGCGTTTGAGCCTGCGAGTGTAAAGCCCACGCTCTCGCTCTCTCTCTATCTCTCTCTGGAAGATCAACAACAATAACGACAACACAGTGTTGACTAACCAAATGACACTCAGCTGCAATTTTTGTTCAAGACAACAACAACAGCAGCCATACATATGTGCACGTTATTGTTGTTTTTCTCTTTCTTCTTTTGCTTTGCTTATTGTTCACTGTCTAATAATGTTGGCACATGTGTATGTGTATACGCACACAAATACCTTTGTATATGCGGATATATGTATGTACATATTTTTGATTATATATATTAATACATTTAAAATCACGCAAAATTGAAAGCAAAGAAGAATAGCAAAGAAAGCGAGTAGGAAAATGAAATGAAAATTAAATTGTTGTGTGCATGCTTTCTCTCAATATTCTGTGAACAACACACCAACAACTGACAGACACAGACACACAAATACGCACGCACACTCATAAACACACGCAGCTGACTGCTTTTTTCTTGTTGTATTGCATTTTCAGATAATTACGAAACTTTTTGAACACAATTTCAACAAAAAACACGCACACGCACACATGTAATAGATAACAGACTCGTGTTGTTATTTTACTTTTTCATTTGCTTTGCTTTGTCTTTTGTTTTATTTATTTATATTTTGTGGTATTGCTTTACTTTTTTTTGCTGCCGTTTTGTTGTTGTTTTGTGGTCGTATTTGTTATTGTCTGCGTTTTTTCTCTTTGTGCACCTTTGGCCGTTAATTTGATTTTGCTCTTGTTTTGTATTTAGATAGATGTACTTTTTAGTGTTGTCTACTTCAACTAGTTACTGAAAATTAACTGGCAACAGAGTTTGGAAGCCCCCAGCGAGCAGCGCACGAACATCTGAAAGCAGCATAAGAAGCAGCAGCAAAAGCAGAGGCAGCGGCAGCGACAGAGGCAGCGACTACAAGGGAGAGAACTCGCGCACAACAGAGCCACAGCAACAGACAGACAGGGAGAGAGAGTATAAAAAAAGAGTGCAGATAAAACAGAGCAGCCGAGGCTAATGCGAACGTCAGAGCGAGAGCGAACGTAACGCGCTAACCTGCTAGCGAGCAGACCGAGCGGACAAGAGAGGGAGAGCGCGTACGAGAGAGGCTCCCACAAAGCACATGTACAAAGAAAATCATACTAACAAAGCGAGAGCCAAAGCCAACCAGCARCAACAACAACGACAGCAATAACAAAACTGTGCAAACAATATTAGGCGAAAGAGTCAGTCGAAGCAGAGGAAACAACAGCAACCAGTCCCCACAATTCTGCCAAGCAAAGAAAAGCTATAATCAAGGACAGCAGCTGTAAAGCACACACGACGCTAAATGCAACACAGACACACTCACAATCACACACACACTCTCAGAGTTGTGAAGCGCATGAGGCAGTCGGGCAACGCCGAAGCTTTCAATGCCCTTCATTTGCCAACAAGCGTTTCGTGCTTATTCGCTATGACGCACAAGTCAGTGTGTGCCYTGGCTTTCCACTAATCCTCTCCCTCAACACACAAACACACTGACGCCGACACCCACATATAAAAAAAAAAAAAAAAAAGCCCTTCCAAAGCTCAGTTCCAGTCCAGCTCAAGTATGGACTTCACATTTGAAGCTAGGCAACCCAACTGCAAAGGGAAATTGATTTAAGTGTGATACTAACGGGGTCAAACGTATGCATATACATATGTACATACATGCACACCTGTGTGGTTGCGTGTGTGCTTGTGCACACAGTGGTATAAAACTGTATGCACAACAAAGTTCTTCTAAGCACACAGCAATTTGTGAATTTTCAAGAAGGTGTTTGCTCCTATACACTAACCACTCTCTTTAGAAATCCCCGGTCGCCCCTCACACGCTTACTCTATAATTCTCTCTCACTCCCCCACTCCACACACAAAGCAGCCCTCGGGCCACACGGTCATTGACTGCGCATTAAAGTCTACCCAAGTGCATAATGAGGCAAGCGAAAATAAAGTAAAGGGCAGGGAGGGGAAAATGTGTGGAGGCATAATATGGGCTAGCGGTGGGTTGGCCAATATGGGCTAAGGCCAACAACAATTAAAAATGGTGAAGAAAAATAAAATTAAAATATGTAAATAAACAAAATGTTTGTAAAAGCTTTCAGCCGCCAAAGCCTGCACACATACATACACCCGTGTGTGTGGTTGTTTTTGCGCATGTATTAGTGTGTGTAACATTGCCGTTGCTGCTGATAAGATTTAAAACGCAAAAGCAAAGGCAAAAGAAAAGAAATCATAAACACAACGCAATAAGCATGCGAAAAGCAAAGTGCGTAGTAGAAGGAGAGCAGACAAAAACAAGAAAACATAGACATACACACGCATACAAACATATATATGTATGTAAATAAGCAATCGAAGAAATGACACATTCTGTATAACAGCTTTTAATATCAATTATGGCCGTAATCAAACTGTTCGCAAAGAATTCGCATCAGCATATCAGAACCGTGAAGCCGAAGGAAGCTCTATAAGTCAGTTTTAATTTTATATTATTTTTAACCTCTAATGATTATCAGAACTAGAGTAGGCGCAATAAAGAAAGATAATAGCAAGGATACACATACACGCATACATACACACAGTTTGAACTGTACACCCAACGTGACGGATGGGCCTGCAATTATTGAGTATAGAAACCAAACGTCAAACGCCAAAAACAACAAAATAATGGAAAAAGCAGATATAACAAATGCTAAACTAAATTGCAACGGCTATTTTGGCGTTGTGCGAAACACACTTGGAGCAAGCGAGCGAGAGAGAAAGGGAGAGAGAGAGAATGAGATATATAGTTAAAGAGAGCGAGTAGAGAGCAACACATCAGAAGGCACAACAAAACTGCAAGGGCTGCCTACACACACACACACACCCATCTATATATGTATGTTTTATATGCACATATACATATGTACAATGTGCATACGTAAGAGCAACAATACGATGACCAAACTTTTGAACACAGTGGGCAGCGCACCAATACTAACAACTACAGTTAGAATTTCATACAAAGGAGCGCAGCGATCTTCTCAACCTTTAACGGCTGTTTCCCAATTATTGTATGTTGTTATTATTGTTCCAATCTGTGTGTGGCACCCTAAACAGCACATACTCACGCACACAGATACAATTATATTTAATTGCACGACCTTTTGCTAATAAATAGTTACAGTGCAATTTGTAGTATTTCGCTAACAAAAATGTATGCATTTCATTTGGCCATGAGGGGATACCTTTTATTATGGTTTCTCCGTTTTTATTGTTGTGTTGTTCGTGTGGCTGGCGCCGCCTTTGATTTTTACGCTTCGATACGTCTCCACATTGTTGTATGCACCAAACGCCTGTGCATTTTTTTACGGTTGCTGTTGGATTTTTCGCTTACTTATTCGACAGCGACAACTGTTTAATTATTATCTAATTATCTATGAAATTCACTGCGTTGGCTACCGCTCCATCCGTTTTCTTTCAATTTCTCCCGTTTCTGGCTAGCTGGCTGTCGTCTTCGGCTTTCCAGCTGTTATGTTGTAAATATTAATCGATACGAAAGTGATATTCGATAGCTGTTAAATTTCAAATTAGCCAAACTAAAAATCGTCCCTGCTGGTAAAACTGGTATGCAGCTCACAACATATGTTTGAAATCAACAGATGAATAATCGCAGTGATTTCTTTCTTTGAATTAAATGGTACATTTTTTTTCGCGAGAACATATTAATTGATATTTTAATTAATTAAAATTATGATTACCGCACCGTTAGGCAACATACTAACATACGTTATTTGAACTGGGAGCAGCTCTGTTAAGTGCATGACATATTGGCTATGTGGCAACGCTCTCATTGCACTGGCAACGCTGCCGATATGTGCAAGTCGTATATACACAAAGAAAATTGATAAAAAACTCAAACATAAATTTGAATTAAAAATCATGAACTTTACGTCAAACAATTGCTAATGCACACCAAGCACATATCAACGCTAGCACCAAGCACAAAATCGAAATTCACACATTGCACGCACACTCAGCAATCGCCTGCAAAATGGTAAGTCTCCGTCCGCTAAGGCCAACCACTCCGAAGAAAGTACCCCAGTAAAAAAGAAAAAAGTATTTGCAAAAAAAGTAGTAAAAAATTTTTTGAAAAAAAATATGCAAGAAAAAAAAATGTAAAAAAGTAGAGCGAAAAGTGAGTAAATCGGGGAAAAAGTCAACGGATTGGCTGTCCTCAATGTGCAATACATAATAGGCGCGATACTAATGCAATGCGTCATCCGTGCAGCATGCCGCATCGATGACGTCGGTGGAGGTGCTGCTGAATGAGTTCTACCAGCCGACGACGAGCAATGCCCGCAAACGCGAAATCGAGACCAATTTGCTGGCATTCAAGTCACAGCCGGAGGCCTGGCAGCTGTGCCTGCGTGTTGCGACCGCCACCAATAGTTTCACAGAGAATCAATTCCTTTGGTTCTTCAGCACCTCGACGCTGGAGCACACGATAACGCGCCGCTGGACACAACTAACGGCGGCGGATCGCACACTATTGAGGGAGACCCTGTGGCAGCACTATGCCCAGCTTATGGTGCTCACCGGCGCTCGCCGGCATCGCGATACGCTCGCCCAACTGATTGCGCTGCTTGGCAAAAGGGAATTCCCGGAACAGGATCCGAATTATATGCAACACTGCATGGAGCTAACCAAGACACGATTTAGCCTTGGCATCAATCTGTTGCGCGTCACCTCCGAGGAGGTGGTCAGCAATCGCGGCGACCTCACCAGCGAATGGAAGCAATACTTTCACTCGTGGTAAGCCCGCTGCTCTATAAATACCGTGTCAATTCTTGCATGTGATTCAATGACTGTTTAACATTTCCCCCTCTCTCTTTGTGTGGTGCTCAATCCCATGTTTGCTCTGTGCAGCATTTCCATGTGTATACCCGATGTTTTGGACCTGCTCACCAAATATCTGTTGATCGCCGTTTGTTACATCAATGGCAAAGACATTCATACGACCATACCAAGCACATTCATGGACTACAGTCTGACTGCAGCGCTGCCAAATGATAACCAACTAAGGTATGTCAAAACGTGATTAACAACTAATTAAGGGTCCTGCCTCGATCCCACTCCGGTCTGTTATCCTTACGTTAGAGAAGTCTTTTCTGCAGCAATGAATGTTAGTTTAGAGCTAATTATGTTTATTCTACATCAATTCATGTCTAAAGAGCTTTACGTAATCAATATATATCTAATGTATTGCTGCTTCGCTGGTTTTTAAACGATTTGTAATAGATTTGAGCTCCAAAAATATTCTCAGATAAGCTTAGGTTTATATGGAACTCCATTGTGTGTTCCTCTTCGAAAGTTATCGATAAGCAACAGGTGTCTAGCTTGCCTAAAGTTATCGGTTGAGTATATCAAGCTATATTTTATACATTCGGTTAAAATATGACTAAAATAATAATATCATTGAATCTCTCGCTTCTCATTTAGTAAACAAATTCAAGAGAGTTACTAAAACCCATAGATAACCCACGACTACCCACTCAAAGCACACCCTAAGTCCTTTTATAAAGAAGTGACTATGAATAGAAAATAATACGTGATAATAATATATTAATATAGATAGTAATGATATAATGATCAAATGAAAATGTGTTAGGCAGGCCAACAATCGGAAGACAATAAGCTTAAGGAGTACCCCTAAGATAATCACAGCACTTGGAGCACAACAAGCTCAAGGAATAGACCCATTTGAAACACCATCATTAATACTCGGTGTTATCTTTTTTCTTTGGTTTTTGCAGTTCCTCAGTGCTGGAGCTGCTGAGCTGTGTGCAGCATTTGGTCTCCTGGATACGCACCGATCTGATCTCTGAATACTTCCTAATGAGCATACTCGATTTATCGCAGTGGCGCCAGGCGAACGAGAACATCTCGCTGGGCGCACTCTCAGTGCTGAATGAGCTGCTCTATCTGCAGAAGCCGCTGCCCTTCGCGTTCACCCTAATGAACGGAGTCAGCGGACTGCTGGAACAGCACAATAGCGTCAAGCATCAGAGCGAAATGTATAGCGATAAGTTCCGCGAACTGTTGCGCCTGTATAGCACCAAATATGCGGGCAAAATGATGCAGGAACCGGAAATGCTTGACTCATTTCTCGATCAGCTCTATCGGTGCACCACCAAATGTGAGTGAATATCGGAAACGCCCACTGTCTTTCTTGATTGATTTCTTATTTTTACTTTCTTTGTGTCTGCTTTGACAGTGCATGGCGCTCTGGACTTTACCGAAAAACTGGACATCTGGACGCCCATCATCAAGGGCATTGCCGAGCAGCCAACGCAATTGAGTGCTCATCATGGCGAGATTATGACGAAGCTAGTCGATGAGATAATGCGGCGTACACAGTTCGAAATCAATAAGCCCGAACTGGAGCTACTCGACAACGAGCTAATGGAGGATGATGTGCGTAACTAAATCAAATATGTATAATATATATATATACAAGAGAGATGCAGCTAGAAGAGATTTAGTTGAGAGTTAATAGCTTACTATAAGCAATAGATCAATAGAAAGGCCAAGCAATAATTGTGAATTGCCTATAGACCACAATTGGGAACTGTTAATTGAACTGTCTATATAGTAGAGTGGAGTATATACTACATATATGTATAGTTCTATATATTTACTCATAGCTTACTCAAAATTTAGTCATGTAGTTCGGAATAGTGAGTGAAGTTTTATAATTTTTACTATGTGGTTCACGGTTGAGGTTAGATGAACAGATTTAGAATCTTGTTCTAAATGGGTTTAGAATCGTATTATATAAGGTAATACTTTCAAATAGCATTAGAAAGAACTAAAGCAATTATTCCACATAATATTTTATAATTATATATTATAATATCTATCAATATTAATCGATAGCTTATTCACCCATTAGTTAGCCCACATAATCTCAATCTGCTTCAAACTAGAGAACTATGAATCAGCTTACAATGCTCAAATCTGGTTCTTGAGCTCTTGACTCGAATTAGCTTTAAAGCGCTTTTATCGATTATTTGTCTTAAGCAATACATTTCGATATCATGTTATCGAAACTCCGTAATATTAAGTTTGTTAGCTGAAGAAGATTTAGATTCAAAATTTCACGGACGCGACTCACTTGTAAATAAGTTGAAATTCAATCGTATATCAATCGGTATACGTTTATCGATTAATTGATTTATTTTGCATTCGCAGACGCCCACAACGGAATGGCAACAGTTTCTGGACCAGTGCTTCGAGTGCCTGGCCCTGCTGGCGACAACACGCGGCGCCCACATCGTCTTCGCTCAGGTCTTTGCCCACTGGTCACGCCCACAGACGTATCTGCTGTCGCTGGAGCTGGCGCTGGATCATGGCAGCGGTCGGTGCTATGAGGCGGCACGCAAACTGAAGCTCGCCAATGTGGGTGAGATATTGAGAGACTTTGCCACCGTGTGCCAGGCGGTGGTACGATTAGCTCCATTAATGGACACGGCACAGGCGCCCGCGGATGTCGTCGATGAGATGGAGCGGCAGTTGCATGTGCTTTCCGATCGTTTGCTGCAGACGCTGCAGCTGTTGGCGAGCAATCGAGTCGGCGGCAGCGACTCGGAGAAGGCGAGCTTTCAAATGGACTTGGATAATCTGTAGGTTAGCCACAGCCGGTCCAATCGAATACCAAATCTAATATATACCCATACCATTGTTATCCCGATAGCTATGCACAAGTTCTACTGGCCATACGCAGCATCTTTCCGATGTCCAAGTCCCTGAACAGCGAGCAGCTGCTGCATCGCTTGTTTGCCATATTGGGCAGCATATTTGCGGGCAATGCCTCGCCGTCGGCTGCCTCGCCCATAGTGCAGCAGGCGGCGAGCGAGGTGCTGCTCTTCATAGCGACTGTGATACGACCCAAATGTCTATTGGATATACCCGAGATCCAGAGTCTAATGCAGGCGGGGCCGCGACTCGGCGGCCAGCTGCCACGCCAAGTGTGCATCAATGTCCACATCAGCCTGGTCAGCTACATGGTGATGCCGTGGAAGAACGTGCCCGAACAGCAGCAGGACTATCCGCGTCGCCAATGGATGCTGCGCGAGTATATTGGTGCATTATCCAGGAATTTCCAGGAACTCGATCTACCGGCAGCCGGCGAGAGCAAAGTGGCCGCCACCACGCTCAGCCTGTTGGGCACGTTCACGGCGCTCATCGACTACTTCAAGGCGACGGGTGCAACGGCTAAGGACCTACTTGCGAGCACCTTCAAGGTGAGCACACAAAGGGGTACAGCAAGACAGCTAAAATATAGATATATATATATATGGATATAAAGATATGCAGTAAGCATATATTCCTGATAGCTATAGGGAAACAAGTTTAGTTCCTTAATCAATTTGTTTTATATATAGATAAAGATAGATATAGTTCTATTATATAGATAAAGACAATTTTGTATACATATATTCTTGAAGAGTGTATAGAAACAGATCTAGTCCTTTATCAAGTTGTTGTTGCAAAGTTTTATAGATAAAGTTAGACAGATTTGATATATAGATAAGATCATTTTGTATGCATATATTCCTGAAAACTATAGGGAAACAAGTTTAGTTCCTTAATAAATTTGTTTTATATATAGATAAAAATAGATATTGTTTTTATATATAGATAGACAATTTTGTACGCATATATTCTTGAAGAGTATGTAGAAACAAGTTTAGTTCCTCTATCAATTTTTTGTTGACTTTCTGCAAAGTTTTAAATTTCATATATAGATAAAGGTAGATATAGTTTTTATATATAGATAGACAATTTTTTATGCATATATTCCTGATAAGTGTGTGGAAACAAGTTTAGTTACTTTATAAATTTGTTTTATATATAGATAAAGATAGATATACATAGATTTTGTATATAGATAAAGACAATTTTGTATGCATATATTCTTGATAAGTGTGTAGGAAAAAGTTTAGTTCCTTGACCAATTTGTTTTTTTGTTGCGAAGTTTTGTTTTAGCTTCAGGTTTCTACAGGGCTTATTTATGTATTAGATATATGTCTCTGAAGCCATGTAGTATTATCTATAAGTGTACAAAAATGCTATCTACTTTTATATTCTTACATTTATATTCCCACTTCCCTCTTCCATTTTATATTTGTTCTTGTTTTGCTGTAAAGTTTTTACTTAGCTTCAAGTTTCTACTTTTACAAGAGGGTTTTTAATAGAGGGTTTATTTATGCATTAGTTATACATATCTTAGATATACATCTCAAGCCATGTTCTATCTATTATTTGTAGGTCTATAAATAATCAATCTACTTTTATATTTTTACATTTGGATTCCCACTTCCCGCTTTCCTCTTCCACTATATATATTTTCAACTACTTGCCGTTTCATCTATATATTAATGTGAGCTGTATCGAACCTGAATTCAATTCATTGTTATCTAGTTCTGTATTATTTAGTAGGGCAATTTTGTCACAAATAGTAGGGCTTGAGTCCAGAAGGTTTTCATTTGGGTTTTGTGAGCTGAGTAAACTTTGATTAGCCTAGAAAATAGTAATAGAAATCGCATACTTTTGCCGACAATAGCTCTCTCTCTCTATCTATCTCTTTCACTCTCCCTCTCTCTATTTATCTCTTTCACTCTCCCTCTCTCTATCTATCTCTTTCACTCTCCCTCTCCCTCCTTCTTTCTGTATGAACTTCATAGCCTTAATATAAACTGTCATACGTTTCCTTAATCTTCCAAAACACAAACCTCAATCATATTATTAATCGTCTATTCATTTAAATAATATATCCATCTCTCTCTCACTCTCTGTTTGCAGCCCATATTAAACAAAGCGCTGGTGATCTTCAATAGCTACGGCCTGAGCAGCATTGCCATGGCCATCACCGTGGCCGAGTTCAGCCTGAGTATGCTGCGCACTCTGCCCATGCATTTGGGAGCACAGTTCATCAAGGAGATGATCACGCTGTTTATCGATGTCAGCAGCAGGTGCATATACATCTATATAGATATACACCAACTATAGCCATCTCGTTCTAAACGATGTTCTCTGTCTGTTACAGGGAGCAGTTAACGCTCAGCCGCTTGGCCGTCATGGAGAAGGTGTTGCAGATGTTTCAATTGGTCGTCGAACAGCCGGGCAATGCTTCCTTATCGCTGATGCCCAGCATTTTGGGCTTCAGCACACAGCAAATACTTCCGCTGCTGCAGCAGCAGAACGCAGCCACCGATAGTAGCGAGATAACCAGCCTGCTCTTTGCGCTCTTCGACAGGTGAGCTTTGTGAGAATTAGCTGCTCTCTCTCTCTATAATGTTCATCATCTATGATTTCCGTCTCATCCTCACCTTAGCGTGCTCACCTGCAAATGGCAATTCTTCTATAAGAATCAGCTGAGCAATGGCCATGGCAATGGCCATGCGAATGGTCAGCAGCCCAACAATTTCAACTGCAGTGACAATCTGCAACCGGAACACTTTATGGCCATCATGAATGCGTACGGCCAGATGCTGGTCAGCGGCACAGATCCCAGCAATGTGCGCAGCGTGCTCGTCTCCATGCAGAATGTGAACGAGCGTAGTCGCCTGTATCAGCGTGCCCTGTTTAAGGAGCAGCTCTTGGCCTCCTTCCAGCGTGCGCTGCTCAATCTGCTGTTGAGCGGCGAGGGTGCCCTACACTTTGATCTGATTGCCCAGGCACTGTTCGCCATGGGCCAGGTGGATCGTCGCCAGCTGCTCGAGAGTTTTGTCAATGCGACGCTGCCCGTGGCGCAATCAACGCTCGAGGATATATGCCAGACAACTGTACGTTTAGCTTTATAGATCTCGTGTTAAGATTCGATTTAGATTGAGCAATATGCATATATTTTGTATATGCTTCAGAATAGTTTGTGAACTGCTATAGATATTCTGTTGCTATCTAGCTGATATTTGTCATAGATATAACTGTTGCGAGTGCTTAAAATTGATATATATAGTCGAGTCCCGAGAATTTGTACCCCGCTAAATCGAAAATCGCGATAAATCGAGAAAAATTCTAACCCTTTGAACGGAATTCGCTATCGATAATTCTCGATAGTATGAATTTCTTTGTAAATCGAAAAAAAAACTGATCCCGTTGCCAATACGAATTATCGCGATTCTACTGTATATATATATAGTATTATTAGATGATCTATAATCGGAATTCTACTGTTTATATATGTAGTATTATTAGATAATCATACGATATAAATATAGTTAATATACTGGCACTACATATAATATCTATCTTTAGATATCATGTAGTACTCTTATATAATCTATACTAGCTCTTTGAATATCTATTTGAGCAGCTCGCTTTTTAGGCAATACCCAAAGACCATTAGAGGTAGATAGTTCCGATTTCATATGTGACTGCTTTTCATGTAGATGTGTCTAGAAAATAGCTCTTTATAATTACCATATATATCTATATATGAGAAGAAACGAAAACTAGAAGACCTTGGTTATATATATATTAGCTTTAACAATAAGTATTTATTATTATATATGTATATATAGAAGTTAGGTAGATGTTAGATATGTCTTATTTAGATGTATCCTATTGACTCCTTCTTCTCCTAATAATATGAAATTCTCTTTTCTTTTCAGGACATTCCAACGTTTACACAGAAATTGACGCAGCTCACGCAGGATGCACATTGTGCGCATCTAAATGAGACAACGTAGACGACTGCGCCGAATGGAGACACAACACGGAGCAAATACACATTCACACACACAAGCACACGAATACACACACACACACACTTATACGCTGTCTGTCCCTTTCAGTATCTTTTGTGCCTATTTTAATTTTATGTTGTTTTGTATATAATATGTACTCGAACTGTATATATATATATACGCGATAACTGTACGTACGAAAACGTTGCCCCATGCTGTGTGTTCCATTAAGTATATACATAAGATACCTATATATACGTGTGTATATCGATAATTATCGATATATTCTGCAACTTCTGTGGTTTGACGTCCTCGAGTGAAATTCACAACACAATTCATAAAAGACAATTTTAGCTTGTAATGAGATTCCGTTTAAAAACAAACAGATATAGAAGATCAGGATGAAGATTAACCATACATAATAATAGTCTAGTAGATGTATGTGTATATCTATATATATATATGTATGCATATATATTTTAAATCTATGATAATTATTATTATGATAACGACATAATCACATGCTTCTGTGTCCAACATTTTTAAACAAGAAAGAAAAGAAAAAGTCATATATGTATACTCTAGACTATATATAATACCGATCTACATATATGTGTGTTTATAGGGAGTACATGAAATTAGCATTAATCCAAATACAAATCCAAATCGCGTTCACAATATTTAAATGCATTCATTTACCTAATTTATTATTTTCTATGTATGTGAAGTCCATGAAATGAATCAAAACAAAATCAAAAGAAAACAACAACAACAAAATAAAACACAAACACAAAGAACACGATTTAACTTTAAGACCTCGACCTTTTGCATCGCATTCAATATAGCCGTGGAAACTACGGAAAACTGACGCAATATCATTTTATTTTCTGTTCGCCTTTTTTTTTTTTTTAATATTTTCTCAAATGCATTTTTTTGTGTGAAATAAAARCTATCAAATAAAATAATTAAGCGTTTGATTCATTTAGATATTTATATGGAAATAGATTTTTAGCTAAGGAACAGGAAGGGTATATATATATATGTAAGAGTTCAAAGAGTGTATATGTATGTATATCGTATCTCTGTTATATGATATGATATGATATGAAATAGTCTGTTCTTAAAGCTTCCTAATTCTGTCCTAATTACTCTTACTGCTGTTGCATTAGTATTAGTGAGAGGCTTATATACCCTCGATAGCTTATATAGAGCTGTTGTAAAAGTTGTATAGCTTATATAGAGCTTATAGAGCTGTTGTAAAAATTTGTAATCGACTGAGTTTTGGGTTGACTCCATGAGTGAAAGACAATTTGTTGATCCGAAAATTTCGGTAAGATCGTATATTATGAGTATATGTATATATGTATGTATATGTATAAATTCCAAGTATTTCACAAGCCAAGCAAGGAAATAATACAATTATACATATACACTCTGAAGTTATTTGAACTTTGGAATGTTTTTGTTTGTTTTACTTGAATGGAGCCTATTAATAGGCACTGCAGATAGAATATATCTAATCTAATCTAATGGGAGTCCAATTGAAATGAAAGAAATCAAATAAGAATCCAATTAGCTTTCAGCTGTACAACAATAACAATCAAAGCAAATCAAAGCATATTTCTAGGCTCAAGATCTCGAGAGATATGGAATAGCTGAGGCTGGGCTGGAGATGAGCTGGAAATGTAAATAAGCGAAAATTTTTATAAATAGAACTGAAGAGCACTTAAGACAGACACAGAGATAGAGAGAGAGAGAGAGGGAGAGAGGGGACGAGGGCAGAGGGCAGAGGGAGGGGGACTCAAAAGGTAAACAAGGGAGCAAGTCCTTTAAAAGCGACAGCTTCCTCTGCATTGTTCCGTTTACATTGAAAACAAAAGCGAATAAAATAAATACAAACACACACACACACACACACACACATGCATATATATGCATATGTATATATAAGTGAATATCTGAAAAATAAGCTGAAATTGAATTTGTCTGAAAAGCGAAAGCAAAAATTCGTGAACAATAGAAGGAACAAATCATAATAAACAAGGAAATTTAGACGAACGAAAATAAAATATATATATATGTATATATATATCACCCACTTCCGTTGCAGGTAGATTTTTGCACAGGTAATCGCTGCTTTGCATATGAGACCGGCAGAGGGAGTGTGAGAGTGTGTGAGAGAGAGGGGGAGGGGTAGCATCTCGAGCGCATCCTGCGGAAATGTATGAAACTAGAGATGGAACGTGTGCGAGTCCTTCAGGACACGCGACAATTGAATGCGGCATGAATTGAGCACTTGAGACAGAGATACCCTGTAAGCAAGATTTATCCAACCTAATTCCATTTGTCATTGTTATATAGCTCTGAAAAGGTCATCATTACAGTTAAGCTCAGCAAACCAAGCATGTGATCGATATATTATCGATATATTCACTTTAATTATCTACGTTTTGCTCTTACTGCTAAAGGATATCCTCTTCTGTCTGTATCATAACAGGTGTTTCACCTACAAATAAATTATTAAAAAATACAATCGATATATTTATCGATTTGTTGTATTTTCTTATATATAAAGTAAAGTCAGACCAGCCTGTGTTTTACTGAAAAGTTTGAGCTATTCAACCAATAGAAGTCAATAATAGCGTTAACCTTTGAGCTATCGATAACTTATCGATATACTGAATATTGCATTTACATATTATTGAAGTGGGTTCACTTCTCTCTGTGAGTTTTTAAGTACTGAAAGGCAATTCACTATTAAATTCACATTGTCGATGAAAATCGATAATACTATCGATTTGATGAACTCATTGAATTAGCTTTAAATTGCAGCAGATTCACTTTAATCCGAATATACTAAGTCAACAGCATTTGAACCATGTTGATTGCACATATTTGAAGATGAATAGATTGATCGATAAGTTGATCGATAGGACTGATAAAGCTGCAGCTTAATTGCACATTTTGCGCTCATCTCTAGTTGTGAGCAAAACATCGTTCCCAGCGACACGCGATGTCTGCGATCACGTAGGCTCGACAAAAAGCTGAAAGCGAAAGAGTAGAGGAAGAAGGAAGGGCAACGAGAAACAAGTGTTTAAGTAAAAGTGTAAGCAGAAGCAGAGGCAAAAGCAGAGGCAAAGGCAGAGGCAGCGGCAGCGACTGTTGAGAGGGGGGAGCACAAGGGATGCGCTCACATTTGATTTGCAAATGGAGCGTAATTGGCATACGCTTAATTCGAGCAGGGGGAAGGCTAGACTCTAGACCGCATGGGATCAAGCGGGCAGGTCAAGTTGACGTCGCGCATAGTCCATCTATCGATGGACGAGTATAACTAAGCAAACCCGGCGAGGGACCCCACACAGTTGAGCACTCGCAGCGCAACCGAACAGTTGAGAAGTGAGCGACTCAGATTCAGCCGAAGACAAGGAACCAGGAGGACAGAAGCTAGAATCCAGAAAGGAACGACAACAGCTAAAGGATGTCTGTGGAAACGGTGCAGGAGACGCTGCAACAGGCGGCGAAGTCGAGCGGCGGCTTCTCGCCCATATTGACGGGCTTGCTGGGCACGATCATCGTGATGGCCCTCTACGAGTACTGGCATCGGAATACCAGGGAATATCGCATGGTGGCCAATATACCGTCGCCGCCGTCGCTGCCGCTGATCGGCATGGCCCACTTGGCCGCCGGCTTGAGCAACGCTGAGATTCTGTCCGTCGGCTTGGGCTATCTGAACAAGTACGGCGAGACGATGAAGGGTTGGCTGGGCAATGTCTTGCTCGTCTTCCTCACCAATCCCAATGATATCGAGCTGATCTTGAGCGGACACCAGCACCTGACCAAGGCCGAGGAATATAGATACTTTAAGCCCTGGTTCGGGGATGGTCTGCTGATCAGCAACGGCCACCATTGGCGCCATCATCGCAAGATGATCGCACCCACCTTCCATCAGAGCATCCTGAAGAGCTTCGTGCCCACGTTCGTCGCCCACTCGAAGGCCGTGTCCGCCCGCATGGCCAAGGAGGCGGGCAAGTCCTTCGACGTGCACGACTACATGTCCCAGACGACGGTCGACATTCTGCTGACGACAGCGATGGGCGTCAAGAAGCTGCCCGAGGGCAACAAGAGTTTCGAGTATGCCCAGGCCGTGGTCGACATGTGCGACATCATCCACACGCGGCAGGTGAAGCTGCTCTATCGCCTGGACTCGATCTACAAGTTCACGAAGCTGCGCGAGAAGGGCGATCGCATGATGAACATCATTCTGGGCATGACGCGCAAGGTGGTCAAGGATCGCAACGAGAACTACTCGCCCGAGTCGCGCGCCATCATCGAGGATGTCGCTGAGCCCACGCCCGCCAAGCAGGCGACCAAGACGGAGGGACTGCGCGATGATCTCGATGACATCGATGAGAACGATGTGGGCGCCAAGCGTCGTCTGGCGCTGCTCGATGCGATGGTGGAAATGGCCAAGAATCCGGACATCGAATGGAACGAGAAGGACATCATGGATGAGGTGAACACGATTATGTTCGAGGGTCACGACACCACCTCGGCGGGCTCCAGCTTTGCGCTCTGCATGATGGGCATACACAAGGACGTCCAGGAGCGCGTCTTTGCCGAGCAGAAGGCCATCTTCGGCGACAATATGCTGCGCGACTGCACCTTCGCCGACACCATGGAGATGAAGTATCTGGAGCGCGTCATTCTCGAAACGCTGCGCATGTATCCGCCAGTGCCGTTGATTGCCCGACGCCTGGATCACGATGTGAAGCTCGCGAGCGGCCCGTACACGGTGCCCAAGGGCACCACTTGCGTGGTACTCCAATACTGTGTGCATCGTCGTCCCGACATCTATGAGAACCCAACGAAGTTCGATCCCGACAACTTCCTGCCGGAGCGCGCCGCCAAGAGGCACTACTACAGCTTCATTCCGTTCAGCGCCGGACCGCGCAGCTGTGTCGGTCGCAAGTACGCCATGCTGAAGCTGAAGGTCCTACTCTCGACCATCGTGCGCAACTTCATCATCCACTCGACCGACACGGAGGCCGACTTCAAGCTGCAGGCCGACATCATCCTGAAGCTGGAGAACGGCTTCAATATTTCGCTGGAGCCACGCCAATACCCGACAGCTGCGTAGATACGATACGATGATTACTTCGAACCGATGGAACCCGACGCACCGTAACTTCTATATCTATATTCAAATATATATATATATAGCTGTTTATCCCAACTCCAACACAGCCTCAGAGTCAATGAGTTAAGCGCAATTGAAAAAAAAAATTCTAAAAAAAAAAAACCAAATATTTTCATAGAGGAAGTCACATAATTTTTCTGTTTTTTTGGTGTCCCTATATCTGTAACCTTTCTATATATATTTTTTTATATTCTACTTTCAGTTCTTTATATATGCTTTCTTTTATTTTAGTC